CTCTGTTTCCTCTTTTTTTAAGCTATATGTCTTGTTTGGGGAATTTGTGTGTGTGGTTGCCATTAGTTTTATAAAAAGTGAAGTTGCATATATACCATAATATTTTCCCTTTTGAGTACATCTGATCTTCATCTTCCTTTGCCTGTCCATACCTGTCCCTATTCCCCTTGTATGTTTTTATTGTCACAAATTATCCCTGTTTATGCTGTAAGTTTTTGGCAATCCTACTGGTAGTGTCATGACCTTATGCTCTTTGTTTCATGTAGAATAACTCCCTTGAGTATTTCCTGCAATGGAGGTTTTTCTAGTGATAAAATCCCTCTGCTTTGAATATTTTTTCTTTGTCACTAATTTTTGACAGCTTCATTACCAAGTGCCTTGGAGAGGGCCTCTTTGGATTGAGGTAACTAGGTGTTCTGTTTGCTTCTTGGATTGAGGATCTAGTTCTTTCCATAGATTTGGAAAGTTCTCATCCACTATTTGTTTTAATAGACTCTCCATTCCATACTCTCTCTCTTCCTTCTCTGCTATGACCATGATTCTGATTTTGGTTTTTTTATGGAATCAGAGAGTTCTCATAGGGCTATTTTGTATTTCTTTGTTCTCTTCATCTTCCCATTTATCTCTGTTCCAGTACAGTAGATGGCGCTGAATTGCAAGATTTCCCCCACACCCCCCTCGTGGCCTCACAGTTTTGAGCCACTGTGGCTTCCGTAGGGTTGTACTGCCTCTGCTGCTTAGGGGTAAGGTTTGTTTTTCCCTCATGGTAATGGCAGTCCCTGACCTCCAAGGGTCTAGCCCAGTGGTTAGCAAACTCATTAGTCAACAGAGCCAAATATCAACAGTATGATTGAAATTTCTTTTGAGAGCCACATTTTTTAAACTTAAACTATATAGGTAGGTATGTTGTTATTAACTTAATTAGGGTACTCCTAAGCTGGCCTTTGCTAAAAAACATCCTCAATGACTGACACTCCCCACTTCTTCTAATGCTACTACTTCAAAATAGACTCGCCCAGGCCAAAAACCAACTTCTGCGCATGGGCCACAAAGTTTCAATCGCACTGTAAGTGCGAACCCACACGTGGTATTTTGTGGAAGAGCCACACTCAAGGAGCCAAAGAGCCTCATGTGGCTCCCGAGCCACGGTTTGCCAACCACTGGTCTAGCCCAAGCACCCCTCCTAGGGCTCAGTCACAGAGGGAAACTGTGTTTCTACTGCAATAGCTCTTGGCCTACAGACAATGCACTCCTGGAAACAATCCAGGGGCAATGGGAGTCTAATTAGTGGCAGGGCTCTGCGATCTACTTTCTTTGCCTGAAAGCCAGCAGCCAGGCCCAGCGGTGGGGAGTGGGGAGCGACTCTGTAGAGAGGCTGTCTGCTGACTCGCAGCTCACGCATGGAACTCAGATCTAATTCACAACATGCCCCTATGGTTCAGACACTCTCTCATTATTTGTGTGCACCCACACAATGCCGCCACTCTAGTGGCTATTCCAACAGCCAGCCACCTGCTGGGTTAGCTCTCTGTTGGTTCGACAAGCTGAGGAAAATGCCCAGGACTGCGGCGGCCAGTTCCCAGCTGCACGGTAGACACACTGTAGCCATGTTCTGCTTACCTCCTTTCTCTCATCTCCCCACTTATTCCAAGGAGCCCACCTTAGTTGTTCCAGTGTGCAGGTCTCTCAGGCGTGCATCTGTGTTGAGCAGGAACTTCTTTGTTGAATGATAGGTGATTATTTTGTTGAAATGTTAGGGGAAGAGGATAGATGTGCCCTTATGCTGCCATTCCTCTGATGTCACTCCCCCAATTTAAATTAATTTTAATTTAATTTTAAGTAGCCACAGGGGCTTGTGGCTACTATTCTGGAAACTGCGATTCTAGAAGAAAATTGTCTAAAGAGAAATACTAGCTAAATGTAATGGATGAAACTTGGTAAAGACCTGGATAGAAAAATTAGTTATAAATGCTATCTTAAGGACAACAATATGGACTAGTATTAGACAATATCAACAATTGTTATTTTCTTTGGTGTGATAACTACTCATAATTCTTATTATTAAAATACTAGAGGCCTGGTGCACGAATTCATGCACAGGTGGGGTCCTTTGGCCTGGCCGGCGATCAGGGCCAATTGGGGCCAACCAGCCAGGGGGAGGGACTGTGGGAGGTTGGTTGTGGGAGTGCACTGACCACCAGGGGGAAGCTCCTGCATTGAGCATCTGCCCCCTGGTGATCAGTGCAAGTCATAGCGACCAGTCAACTGGTTGTTCAGTCAACCAGTCGTTAACTGTCACTTAGGCTTTTATATATACAGATGCTTAAGTATTAAAGGGCAAAATATCATATTGTCTGTTGCTCAGTTTTTAAATGTCTCTGTGGGTATAAGATTAGAGGAGACTAAGGAGACATGATAACTAAATTCAAATGTATAATTCTTGATTGGACCCTAGAACAAATAAAGAACAATAACTAAATCTGAATAAAGTCTGTGTAGTTATTTAACAGGATTGTAACAATACTTATTCCTCACATTTAATAATTATACTGTGATTATTATGTTAGTATTAGGGGAAGCTAGGTGAAGGGTATATGGGATATCTGTACTATTTTTGTAACTATTCTGTGAGTCTAAAATTATCTCAAAATAAAATGTTGAGAAAAATTGTTTAAGTGTGTCAGGGTAGTAAGAAGCTAGGGAAAACTTCTGGGCAAGTGGAATGGGAAAATTGAGACAAGAAAATTAAACAAGGCCAAATAGTTTGGGCAGCTTGCAGCCAGACTGTGAATCACATGACCTTATCTTCCCCAACCAAGGACACTTGAGAGCAAATGGTTTAGACAGCTCCTCCCTAACCAGAGAATACATAGCTTAAATCACCCTTGCTTGGGAAAATAGAGAACAAAGACCAAAATAATGTCATTGTTCCAGATAAACAGAAGGACAGATAAAGTCTAGGGGACAAACAACAAAATCCCAAAAACTTTGGGATGGTATCACTTGGGGGATATTAGGCAGGAAAGATGGGTGCTAGAGCAGGAGGGGGGAAAGGGAGAAAGGGGTTTATCTCACCCACTAAACAAAGAAATCAGCTGTCTTAGGTCTTGCTAAACAAGATGACCAGATGTATGTATAAACATTCTGAGATAAGCCACAACAATATAGAAGGAGATTTTGAAACTTAATCTGCTTCCCAAAATATTTGGCAGGGTAACTTTGAAACCTATAGGGTGAAGGGTATAAAACCCTTTGATCCCCACCAGGCAGGATGCTCAGACTAGCTGAGTTGCCCACTTATCTTTATGCCAACTATATTCTTAATAAATTCACTTGCTTTGCTTCCTTAGAAAATTCACTTACTTTTCTTCCTAAATAAAGTTGCTATCTTTGCTTCAACACTGCTGTCTGTCATTCATCTGAATTCTTTCTCAAGAGCTGAGGAGGGGAGAGCCCACTCAGGGGGCTCTCTGGTAGCATAAGAACTACAGGGATTTCACAGGAAAAGTGCAAAATTGTTTACACGGTTGGGTTGATAATGCCTCTAGGGTCTGTGCGCTGCCTATCTCTGTAGCATGTTTTCTCCTCTTATTCATAGTGTCTAGTAACACAGAATTTCTTTGCAATAGCCTCAAGCCCTTTGCACATGGTGAGTCTCTGCACCCCCCCCCCCCCCCCACACACACACACTCTTCTGGGGATAATCACTTCCTTACAAAAATTCTCACTCTACCCACCCCCAAGCCCAGATTAATTTCCCTTGCTGTAAATCCCATAGCACTCTTGGCTTTCTCTTTTGTTGCATGCATTGTTCTTGTTATTTACTTGGCTGATGACTATAAGGGAAGGACCACTACTGTATCAACAGTGTGGGCAAACATCTTCATATTTGAATAAATTTAGGGAAGTACTTGAAAAGTTGGTGGAATCATAGTCATGTGTTCATAATTTCTGACTCATGCATTCAATATTTACTGAGGCACCAAAATACAGTGGTTAGTCAAATATACACAGTTCCTACTAGACTGGGAAGATGAGTTATTTAAATAAAATTAGTTACAACTGTGATACATGGCAGGAATGGTCATTCAACATTGTAGAAGGATATCCAGATAGATTTCTGTGTTCTATTTTTATTTCTTGAGGGGGAGGCCCTCAAAGTCTCTTTCCTTCCAAGACTACCTATCAAAAGTCAAGGGAACCCTTTCCCATAAAGCTCCTCTTCCCAGTCTTTGTGGGAGTCACACCATGGACACTCTCACAGCAGAACAAGTGATTCCTAGTCTCAAGTGGGCAACTTGAACTTCTGACTGGGGGAACCCTGATTTTCTAGGCCTCAGCTGGCCCAGGGATGATCCCCTCAAACCCTCTCAGAGGAGTTTGGCTAGCTCCTTGGTAAGCTGTTCAGTCATTCAACAAACTTATCTTTTGAGCTGTGTGCCAGGCACCTTGCAGGAGCAGGGGCTAAAACAATGAATAAAAGAGACAACACATCTGACCTAATGGAACCTAGAATCTAGTGAGGAAGAAAGTCAATAATAAGAAAAACCAGTAAAATCTAAAAAAATATTTTAGGCAGATAAGTGCTAGAATAAGAAGGAATGCATAATGCATACACATGTATGTTTGTGGCAAGGTGAACATTTCCAATGGGGCAGACAGGGAAAACTTCATGGTTTTTGAGTGAAGATGTGAAGGAAGTAAGGAAACCAGCTTTGGGGATGTCTGGCATTCTAAGACAGGAGTGAGCCTGCCACCTTCAAGGACCAACAGGGAGGCCGTGTGGCTGGAGCTGAGTCCCAGATGGGAAGGGAACTAGGAGATGAGTCTGAGAAGCCATTCACATAACCCTATAGGTCACAATGGCCTCTTTATGAAAGAGAGGGCAATGTTATGAAGTTCTCATACTAACTTCTCTCACACAATCAATGCAGTGCCCAACTTTGTTATTCTCTGCCCTGTCATCATATAATACGCAGTCAGTCAATTTCCATACTTACTAGGTTCTACTGGAGTTCCACAGCCAGCACAGAAAAAATTCTGGGCTGCTACCACGAGATCCCTCCTAGGTATAGAAAACAGTAAGTTACATTTCAGAAAAGGCCAATGGAGAAGTTTTCACTTATTGGAAAATAAACTGATGATACTTTTCTTGTCTTGGGGCCTTAATTTTGTCATTTTCCATTTGTGAAGAAATAGAATTACTCAATAGAGTTTTCTAGTTGAAATCCCTGGGTCACTAAAGCAGAAGTTAGTATTACAAGTAACACTTTCACTAAAATCTTTAGAGACTTCACACTGCATGCACAGGATCCTCTCTCCAGAGAGAACTAGAGATGGGCAATGCAGGGAGAAAGTTCAGGTAGACCAGACATAAGAGGTGATTGTATTTGGGAAGTCCACAAATGGATCCAAAGAAATTTAGACAAATAAGGATAATGTAAGATAAAACTGTACATTTATGGTGAGAAACCATCTAGTGAAGTGTTTTCTATTGAACTGTTGGTGCCATGACTTCACATGTGATTTGAAAATACAAAATAAGTTATAAAATTTTATTATAGTTTAGGGTCAGCAAAATTGGTCATAGCAAAAATATGCAGAACCCTACCCATGTGCCTTTTCTTAACTACAGGAGCTCTCCTCAAGATTAAATTTCTATAAAAAAAATTCATTGATTTTTATTTCATATTGCACTGAAAAATAGAAGGATCCAGTCTTTTTAAATTATTGTATATGATTTCTCAGGTTCAATATTAGCCACTAAAAATAGTCCCTTTAGCCTATTTCAGTTGCTATGTGATGTCGGCAATTAAGAACACAGTGAAAATTTCAACTTGTCAAAACTTACAGAGCCCCTCAAAAGCAGGGTGCCAAGAAAGCTAACTCAGAAAAATATGCCCAACCAACCTTTTCCTAAAAAAAAAATGTTCTGTCCCTCAATTACTTTTTTCCTTTTCCTACTTTCAGAGTCAGGTAGGAACTGAGACATTTTAGGGACTTGGGCCCAGGAACAGAAAAAATACCAAGTGGCTAGGAAGACAAAAGGACAGAGGAACACCAAATAAGCTGACTGCAAGAATGTCACCACCCCTCCACTCCCTACTTAAAAATGCAGAGGTAGCTGATTTTATTTTCTTATAACTGCCTGCTTCTTGCAGGTGTTGTAACTACTGACAACACTCAGTTGATCAAGGTTTGAATGCTATACGACCTTCCTAAGGTGGTGGTAATAAGCAGTCTGCCATCTTACCCTCATAGCACAGGTGGGAACACAGTTACCAGACAACTCAGCTGGAAAGTGAAATCACTCCACCCTGAAATAGGAATTATGCAAGCCTGCCTTTTTCAAGAAGAACTGCCTTTTTGCACAAGCCTGCTTTGTCCCCAGCTCTTAAAGGAGCCAAGCAGAGCCAGCCCTCAGAGCCAGTTCAGATGACCTTCCTTTACTCTGTGTTGCCTCCTTTGTGCTCCAACATAAGCTTAATGAAATCTGCCTGTGGATGAAAATGGGCCACATGCTAACCTGACAAGCTCAGGGAAGGTCTGCATGGCAGCCTTGCAAACTCAGAGACTTAAAGTAACCCCAAAGGATAGTCTGAAATTAAAACTTTTTAAAAGCAATTTATGGCAGATAGTCATGTCCTAAGCTAGACTCTTTCCTGACAAAAGTCAATCTTTACCTTAACTAAAGCTGTCTATTGTATTTTGCATCTATGATAACAGACGTTTGGACTGTCAGGGTAACTCCCCCTGTTCTTCCACACCCCTCAGGCACAACCAATACACCAGGGCAGAGACCATAAATCCTCTCATTGTTATTATTATCATGTTAATTGTTAACTGTTAACTATCCTATACCCACCTGTGTAAAAGATATATGAATCTATCATTTTACTTTTTATTCAATACCAGCAGTTACCCCTGCTTTGCTTTCTCCCACTGTGGTGAGCCAATATAGGGTTAAGCCTCAGACTGACCTGTTGGCAAAGTCACAAACAGGTCTTCCGAGTCTTAAACAACCCAATCCGAGAGGTAGCCACTGATTTACACGTGCTATCATTTAAAAAATAAAAAGGGGGAATTTGCCGGAAGTCAGTCCATCCTTGCTTCTAGACACAGTCGATGCAGGGAAGAAACATCTGCACAGCATATGTTTCAAGGGACCTGGCGTATATGGCATACTGTCCTTAATATGTTTGCTCCCCCTCTTAGCGCTATGTGTTTTAAACAAGGTCACCTCTCCGAGAAAGGTTGTTTCCCCAGGTGGGGATTTTTCCCTGGAGTTAGGGAGTAACCGGGCTAAGGAAGAGAATAAATCAGTAAAAAACCCAAATGTTACAAAAATACCATGTACTGGCTGGACCCCAACATCCCAACTCCCTAATCTATCACCAATGGATTTCATGTAACCCACTTGCTTCTTCTCTTTTGATTGTAATGTATAAAATAAGGTGCAAAACTGCCATTCTCTGGAGTATTATCTCAATCCATTGATATTTGCATTCTGGCAATTGTCAACAGTTTGGCTCAAATAAACTCAAAATTTTCTATAGGTTTGATTGTTTCTTACATTGACATGTCTGATAATTTCTCAGGGGTTTCTTCTCAATTTCTATATTGGGGAACCCAAGAAACCCAACGTGGGTAACAGAACTAACTTGTTTTAACTAGACTGGAAGCCCAAACAGCAACCCCAACTTACTTATGTGGTGGATGAACATTAACTATGACTTGAAACCTAGGGGGTGCCCAGTCTTCTGTCCCTCTGATCCTTGAGTTAAATTTAATTTCCTCTCCTAAATCCACACTGGATTCAAAGTCTTTTCGGACACACTCTTCATTTACAACCTGCATAACAAGAGAGAATTTAGGAACTTAAAAAAGCTTATTTTAGGAACTGAAATTAAAAGAGCACTCAGCTGTATTTCCAACATTAAAATTTACCATGATAAATTAAAACTGCTTTCAACCGAACTAAAGGACATGGCAAAAGCCCTTCATGTATCTGAAGCCATCTGGGGAAAAACTGTTTCAAACAACACCCAGCTGAGGTCACTTTTCTTTGTTTCTTAGTTATTTTAGTATTTCATTTGTTTCCAGACTTCAAATTACTGCAAGTAGGTCACTGTGACCTGCAATGCTTTTATAGATAGCATTTTAGTAAATAGGCTGATAGATGCTGCCAATCAGAACCTCCTATGGTTGTCAGACTTCCCAAGAAACATCTTTCAAGACCATTCCCCTGCTTGGCTCCCCTCTGAACCTATTATCATTTAAAATCTAAACTCCTCAAATCAGCATTCTAGGTCCTCCATAGTTGGGCCACTAGTATTCAAGCCTTATTTCCCAGGATCACCACTGCCCTCCCCCAGTCCCACCAACACACACACAGACAGGCAAACACATATTATCCAACCACACCAAACCATTCTGCTCAATAAACACCGCACACACCTCAGTGTCATTTTTGCTCCAGCTGGCCTTTGCCTCCTTTGCATTTCCAGAGAGATTTTTGCCTACCCCTAGTTTATTTATTTATTTCCTTTTATTAAATTGTTGAGTATAGGGGGACTACTTCTATTTTAGCCTTTGCCACAAAGTTCTCTGTTCCCCATGAGCTGCATGCTGCCAGAGGGCAGAGTGTTCTACAGGGAACTGTGGTCAGCAGTTAGACAGGAGCAGAGCAAGGAGGATGGGCCAGGTACAGAAGGGGGTGCAGGGAACCCCAGGTGCCTAACAAAGGACAATTGTAGGGTGGGACCTTGCCTCCAGGGTGACCTTTCCTTCCCTAGCATATATCTGGTCATGAGATTTGTACCAGTACCTCTTGACTTTCCCTCCCTAGAGATAACATCTATGCCTAAAGTTGTATTACAGCTCCAGGCCCAGATAAGCAACAAAACCAGCCACAACTGTCCTCAAGACAAGCTGCACTGAATAATGACCCCTGCCCTGGTCCTTGCCAGTCAATCAGTGGAAACGTAGACCCTCAAAGGACACACCTGGAAAATTGCTGAATATTCTATTGAGATCTTCCCCTGGGACCTCCCCTAAAATCACCCTCAAAACCCTCAGGACAGAGGACTCTGCCAGCTCCAGGGACTCCAGGGACTCCACTCCAGCATGTTTTCCCTCCTTCTCATTTCCCTTTCCCCTCCTTCTCCCTGCCCCAGGCACCTTACTATTCGCTTCCACACTTCCAAGCTCCAAGGGCCCTTCCTTTACCTCTACAACTTGTTTCCTAAGCCCATTTTTTCTAGAAATTACTTTTTCTACTTCTGTAATTCACCCCAAAACTGTTTGGGTCTTGGCTCTGAATTCTTTCCTAGCCAGAACCCAAGCACTGAGGTTGTTGAACCCAGGTTTGGTCTGACCCCACCAGTCAGACACCTGGTGCCTTCCCGCTTCCTACAACAGAACCAGCCTGGACTTTCAAATTAGGCAGCATGAGGCATAACTCCTGCTGATACATGAGGAGTATCTAAATCTTACCTACAATAAGATTTAAAAAACTATATTTTTATTGATTTCAGAGAGGAAGGGAGAGGGAGAGATAGAAAGGGGGTAGGAGAGAGGGATCTAGTCATATCTGAGGAGTATCTAAATCTTACCTATACTGACCAGCCCTGCTGGATGTCTTGATATAAAAATGATAATAGCATCTACCTAATACAGCCGTGGGCAAACTACGGCCTGCGGGCCAGATCCGGCTTGTTTGAAATGAATAAAACTTAAAAAAAAAAGACTGTACCCTTTTATGTAATGATGTTTACTTTGAATTTATATTAGTTCACACAAACACTCCATCCATGCTTTTGTTCTGGCCCTCCGGTCCAGTTTAAGAACCCATTGTGGCCCTCGAGTCAAAAAGTTTGCCCACCCCTGACCTAATAGGACACATGAGAATTAAAATGTGAATTTTGGGTGCATAATAAATACTCAATAAATTTCAGATTCATCCTTCCTTTCAATTCCTCCCCCAACCCCCAGTGACCATAAAGGAAACACATACATGTCTGAAGTGAATAGCAGGCAAAATGTGAATTTAGGAATGTGAAACTTCCATTCAAAGTCAACTTTTTTTGATACTTACTATGGAGCCAGATGCATTGAGGGAAACTGCCAGCTGATAATTAACTTCTGACAACATCCAGCACTTACGGAATACTTGGTACAATTCTTTGGCTATTAGCTCAGCTGAATTGAAGTTTGGCTCATAAATAACACTGAAATGTAAGAGATGCAAAAGATTAACAATTATATTCATGAGGAGTATAAGGTTCTTCTTCAGATTTTCAACTATCCTTCCCTCTCCAAAAACTCAGAGGAAGCATCATAGAAGAGACCATGCATCAACCATGGTACCAACGGTTATCTTACTCAACACAATTCCTCCATGTTCAACAGAGCAGCTTTATTTATTGAGGGTACCAAGACTGAGAGGTATAGTGAAAAGAGCACTGGATTTAGAGTTAGAAGACCTAAGTTCAAATCCTACCTCTGTTATTTAACAGCATTGTGCCCCGAGGCACACTGTGTCTGAACCTTAGTTTCTACATCTTTAAAATGGGGTTTTAAAAAAGCCTATCCATGAGGATAACATAAGAATGTATACAAATGTATACAAAAGTCTTTTAAACACTATAAAAACATTGTAGAAACTTGAGTGGTGATTGTTGCATTTCAACTAACTGAACTTGGCCTGAGATGTTCGCAGAGGCCTGGAATTCAGTGTCTCAGAAGTGATGGCCCAGGGCCCTATGTGAAGGACATGAAAGGGAGATACCTCTTAGAGGAGCTGCAGGAACATCCACAGGTTTCTGTGGTATTGCTGAACTTTCCAAGTTCTGTGGAAAAATAGAAGAAAGAGTAGAGAGGTCTTTTAGTCTGTTTCAGTTAATCACAGTCAATTTGATAAGCACACAAAAATAGCTCCCTGCATTTGAGAAAGAACCACTTATTCAGCATCTTTATACTTCAGTGTCTTTTGAGTTTCTATTATGAGGCTACAGCTAATAACCAAAGAGGGAATTTCAAAATATACTCACCTGGCCTGGCCAGTGAAGCTCAGTGATTGATTGTCCACCTATTAACCAGGAGGCCATGGTTCGATTCCCAGTCAGGGCACATGCCCGGGTTGTGGGTTCAATCCCCAGTGGGGGGTGTGCAGGAGGCAGCCAACCAATGATTCTCTCTCGTCACTGCTGTTTCTTTTCTTTTTTTTTTTCTAAAAAAAAATAGCATTTAAAAATATATATTTTTATTGATTTCAGAGAGGGAGTGAGAGGGAGAGACAGAAAGGAGGCAGGAGGGAGGGATCTAGTCATATCCGAAAAATATTTAAATCTTACCTACAATAACAAATTTATCAAAGTCACATTTGCAGGCCTCTTTCACCACATCACAGTAAGTAGGTGTTTTAACAACTGGGCTGACCTGTAACACAGCACAACCTAGAGAAAGAAAAAAAGTACACAATCTGTAACATGCAACTATATAGAAGTTAGGAATAAAAAAGGCTAAGAATTTTAAAATTCAACTTCAAGAATTTTCAGAAAAGCAAGTGTAGTAAGGAGCGAGAATGGCACCAGGTGTTAGATCAGTGGAGTCAGAACAAACCTTCATTCAGCAACTTCGGTAATGGAGTTCTGGCTAGGAAAGAATTCAGAGCCAAGACTCAAATTACAAGAGAAAATTTATTTAGAAAGTCATAGAGGTAGAAGTGAGCTGTAGAAGAAATGAGCTCAGGAAACAAGTTACAGAGGAAAAAGAAGGGTACTTGGAGCTTAGGAGAAAGAGAGAAGCCAGGAAAATGAGCCTGGGAGAAGAAGAGTGGGAGGGAGTGGGGAAAGGCACTGGTGTTGTCTGGTTTTGCTGCTTCTCTGGGCCTGGAGCTGAAATACAACTGAGGCCTAGATGAACTTGATGCAGGTCAAAACCTCATTGTCCTGGGAGCTTAATGCTTAAGAGCTATTCTTTGTCCCCCTTGTTTGTTTTCCTTCTGAGGGGTGGGTGTCTAGCCCATATGCCTAGCAACATGCCATGGGAGGATGGGTCGGGGAGGGCCCGAATCGCATGACTAGTGTTATGAAAGGTCAGAGGGTCTAAACCACATGACCAGCAATATGTTAAGGAAGAAAAGGTCACCCTGGGGATGAGGTTCTTGTTTTCCCAGTTTTATCCTTTACTAGACCTCAGAGCTTTTCACCCTGGTGACCTTCTGTAGCACCCGACCCATTGTCCTCGCTCTGCTCATGTCTAAGTGCCTACCACACAAAGAATTATTTCTGTGTTTTTCTTACATTCACCATCACTAAGTGAAACACACTGAGTATGTGGGAGTTCATAAAAGTAACCTGTCTTCTTTTACAGATGTTTGAAAAGTCCAATAATACAAAGGTTTAAAAAATGGTAGTGGGGAAAGCAATTTCAGCTTCACAGAGAGGGAAAGAATATAGGTGACATAAACACTGTACTGAGCTGAATAGTGTGGTGCCCCCCCGCACGCCCCCCCCCCAAAAAAAAAATCATGTCTACCCAGAAACAGTAAATGTAGCCTTATTTGGAATTAGGGTATTTGCAGATGTAGTTAAGATGAGGTCCTACTGGAGTAGGGTGAACCCTAAATCTAATGACTGGTCATAAAAAGAGAGAAATTTGGACATAGACACAGATATATATATAGAGAGAGAACACCATGTGAAGAAGGAGGCAGAGAATTGGGTGATGTGTCTACCAACCAAGGAACATCAAGGATTACCAGCAACCACCAGAAGCTGGGACAGAGACATGAAGCAGATTCTCCGTCAGAGTCTCCAGAAGGATCCTGCCATTCCCACAACTTCATTTCTGACTTCTGGGCTCCATAAATGTGAGACAATAAATTTCTATTATTTTAAGATACCTAATTCATGGTATTTGGTCACAGCAGCCCTAGGAAACTAATAAAATATGTACATACTTTTCTATCCCTAATACCAGTCTGGGGAATTATCCTAAGAACATCATTAAGAAGAAAATTTAATGAAAGGGGAAGATTTGGGGACCTGGCTGGATAGCTCAGTTGGTTAGAGCATCATCCCGATAACCAAGGTTGCAGGTTCTATCTCCAGTCAGGGCAACCAATGAATGCATAAATAAGTGGAACAACTAATCAATCTCTCTCCCTCTTCTTTCTCTGTCAAATCAATAAATACTTTTTTTTAAAGAAAGAAGAAGGCTTTGATCACTAAGGAGCTATTTGTAGTCTATTTAGAATACTGAAAGCTACTTTAATGCCAAGAAATAGAGAACTGATATTGTAAATCACTCTGTTAACTCAAGAAATAACGTAATTGAAAAATGTGAAAGTCATAACAACTTGAAAAATTGGATATGAAATACTGTTCAGTTGATCAGGATAGTGAGGTTCTCTTTTTATTCTCCTATTATATCTGTATTTATACCATTTGATTTTTTCAAAATTAAATCTTTATTGTTAAGATTATTACATTTGTTCCTCTTTTTCCCCCCATAACCCCTCCTCCCAGTTCCCACCCCACCCTCCACCCTCACTCCCCACCCACTGTCCTCATCCATAGTTGCACGAGTCTTGTCCAGTCTCTTCCCGCATCCCCCACACCCTTCCCCCGCTCAAGAACAGTCAGTCCATTCCCTTTCTATGCCCCTGATTCTATTATAATTACCAGTTCATTCTGTTCATCAGGTTATGCACTCCCTTGATTTTTAGATTGAC